GTGTTCCCCCGTACTACACATACAGTGGTGCCAACCTACCCCGTGGGCTGGGGAGAGATCCGGGTTGGTTGGTGTTCCCCCGTACTACACATACACTAGTGAGAGGATGAGATAGATGAGTACTAGCAACAAAAATGAGATAGATGAGAGAAGAAAAAAGGTTCAGGTCATCGCCTCGCCATTCTCGAAATTTGCAATGGGAATGAACTTCTGGCTAGAACATGGCCAGATGCACCTGCCACTTTTTTTGTGTTTCTTTCAGATTTCGAGAGTGGTGTGGCGAGGCCCAGAGTCCACACGGGGGGTCGATCGATGGTGGTGGAGGCGGGAGGAGTGAGAAAAGGGCCACCTCGCCTGTCCTGCTCCTCGCGGGAGGAGTGAGAAAAGGGCCACCTCGCCTGTCCTGCTCCTCGCTCCCGTTTGGCTGCGCTCCGCGCACGGCACAAAGTTTATATAGCATTACTTCCGGTACGGATTTATATAGCATTACTTCCGGTACGGAGCACGAAACGTTCTGATATTCCTGGGTACGGGGACTATACTTGGCTCGATAGCTGTGCAGACTCTGAGGTGATTGTCTGCTAGTAGGAGGGGATTCCTCGGCCGGAGTTGGCGATCTGCAGTTAGCGCTTTCTTCACGTGCCACTTGAGCGATTGCGTGTTTTCGTGTGTGAAGGGATTGCGCGCGGTTTCATGTGTGAATTATCTCGCGTGGTTTCTCGCCTGCGGTCGGTGTTTTTCGGCTGGGGCTCGACGAGATCTTGAACGTCGTCAGCGCAAGTCTAGAGTGGAAAGGAGATACGTGGCGTTGCCGCGTTGGTGCTACACACTGCTCCCGGTTGTAGCGGTCATCATGTCGCAGGTGCAAGATAAGACGAAGGCCGGCTCGAAGACCGGTCATCCGGTTGACCCGGAAGCGTCGAGGGAAGAACTGGCGGAGAAAGCGAAGAAAGGGGACACGGTGATACATGGAGGAACGGGAGGGAAGACGCTGGAGAAGCAGGAGGCATTGGCGGAAGGCCGAAGCAGAGGAGGGCGGAATGAGGATACACCAATCGGTGAATAATCGATTTGAGAATTTCTTTGGTTCTGTGTTACCTTCTCCCCTGAAAAGAGCGTACGCTGGTCGTTTTCGCTGCATTTGGACTAAAAGGTGAGCCAAATACGGCTGTAATTACCGTACGTTCTATTCGGGGGAAGACTATAGGGATATTGAGTGGGTGGCAGATTTTGCATGCATCGAGTCTCGGACGGGCTGGTACTGGCCGACGTTCCCATATATATGTAGGGGCCTTTGCTCGTGCGCGCTCTTTCTTCTCTGTTCTGTGGAAGACTGGAAGACGTGATATAGTTTCGGTCAACGGCTGTGTGTTGACTTTTTTCCTTCTGTTTCTGTGCTTGTTTCGACCCGGAAGTGGTTACGCGGGAGAAGTAGTACGGGAAATGGAGAAATATGGGAAAGGTCAACGGGCAGTCTATGTGGATCTCGAGCGATGCAGGCATCGCATAGACCGAACTGCTTAGCTCGGTTGGCACACCCGTGAACTGTTCAAATGCAGACCCAAGTTCGAATCCAAAAAAACAAAAAAGCATTTGCACGAGCGACCATCTTCCCTCGATCACGACTTACCTTCAGGTGTGGCTTCATTGCACCATGACAGATGGCTTGTATGTTTTCATTGGAAGGGCGCGTTCAACTTGTGCTTCATCGAAGGTGATAAATCCCCTACGACCTAGCGCCGAGCGGTGCACCGGGATGGTTGGCTTGTATAGTTACAGGAGAATCTGAGGAGATTGATCGTTCAAGTAGAGAGTGACATGAGTTTGGGCGAGACGTCAACACGTTGGTCGGGCTCGCAGTCCTCAGTGTCCTGCTGCTACTGTAGGGTGATTCCGTTGCGGGGTTGTGGTGGTCATAAATTTGCTGCCCCGCCATCGTCTGTGCACTGTGCAGCAGTAAATTCCGGGTGCTGCACGGGTCATCGAGGTCGTACTAACTGATGCGTGAAGATAGTGTTTGTGACGTCGTGACTCGTGAGTGATATGTGATGATACGTGTGGAAGTCGAAAACTTACGGTAGTTGTATTTACGTTCCATATAGATTACGTTGTAAGACTCAGTAAGAGCTCATTTGCTTTCCCTGCCAAGGTTGACCGAGGTTGACGAAGGTTGACGAAGGTTGACCAAGGTTGACGACCAAGGTTGACGAAGGTTGACCAAGGTCGACCAAGGTTGACCGGGATCCCGGGTACCTACCGCATGGCTTTGATATTGGTTAGCGGTAAATGTTGGGAGAGGTGGGCGTGTCTGTAACAGAGGCGACGGCGAACACTGTTAAATGATCATGCTTATGGGATAGCGGCGGGTATTAGTGGTGTGTGATATAGGTCTGCTGTTGTAATAGAGCAAGCAGGGTGCATGGTTGGCGATATCTCCCCTGATAGGTAGTCACTGTGATGTTGTGTTTCACGCTGCCATCTGGCTCAGACTGGCTGTTGTGGTACGGCACTGTCTGGCTGTTGTACTTCTCTTTTGGCCGGGATTGGACGCTTGCATGTGTTGTAATCTACTGTCAGCGTCTTTTGTCCTTTTGGGCGGCAAGACAAGAAAATTAAAGGATGGGATCCATCGCCAGCATGGTTTGTCCTTTAGGGCAAGAAAATGAAAGGATGTGTTGCGTAATGAACGCCAAATGGGGTGTGTTTTATGGTGAGGTAAAATGGGGTGTGGCTTATGGAGAGGTAAGTACCGACCTGATCGATCTCTGGAGGCAGAAGAAAACGTCAGCTTGTATGGTTTGTATCATCTGTAATATGATTTGTATGTGAAAGAAATTCTTTGAGCTTGTAACTCTACAGCCTATATCGTGGAGATCATATCGCGACGCCGACGAGTTTTGTCGTTCGCTCGAGCTTTCCGTGTTTTCGGCGTGTTGTCTAATCGTATGTCTTATCTTGTGTGGTCACGCATTGTTTCTAGCTTGTTTTGCGTGTTTTGTGTGAGCTGTGTCTGTGCGCGCGCGCGCAGACGCATGTCACGCGGCATGTGTAATGATATGTTTGTTTGTTTGCGTTTTTATTTATTTTTATTTTATTTTTTATTTTTTTTGGTTTGTGTATGTGTGAGAGAGAGGAACAGAGAAAGAGAGAGTGTGTGTGTGTGTGTGAGAGAGGCAGAGGGAGAGTGTGTGTGTGTGTGTGTGAGAGAGAGAGAGAGAGAGAGAGTGTGTGTGTGTGTGAGGGAGAGAGAGTGAGAGAGGGAGAGGGAGAGAGAGAGAGAGAGAGTGTGTGTGTGTGTGTGTGTGTGTGTGTGTGTGTGTGTGTGTGTGTG